ATTTTTCTCTTGGCTATGGATGTTGTGATTGCCCGTAGGTGGTAGATGGTCTCTGACTGTCGAACGCGGAGGTACCACTCGGCGGATCTCGTAGGCGGAGCCAGAATGTGTGCTTGCTGCATGCACACGTGTTCCCTCGCCAGAGTCCGTGTGGCGTCCCCCCTTTCCCATGTATCCCCCTATAGCCCCACGATACCCATGGGTGCTTAGGCCTTAGGCCTTCGTGGTAGTTGGAGTATAAAAAAAGATACATCACGAATAAAAAAAGTGGCGTTACTATCTGTCTTGCTGGCCTTACGTAGAATAACACTGTCCATCTCACCGACTGAGGAAAAAATTGAAATTTGGTAGTAAATGGGAAAATTGAAATTTGATAGTAATGGGAACTGAAGATCATCACAGGATGTCGATTTTCCGATTTTTGATAAAGCCTAATTTGAAAGTTACACGACTTAGATTTTTTATATTTTTTCTGATAATATTGTGCCTGTCCCCAGATTTCAGCTTGACGTCGACTTTTGAGGAGGCACTTTGTGGAATGCCTTTATAATCCATCTGTCGGTCACATTGCACGGGGGAGTCATCATTATAGGAGGGAATCCGATCGTAAATTATTGTTGCATCGTTGAGAACTGATATGATACACAACAGTCAATTACATTTTTGGGTTTACATACGTCGATTTTTCAGGTATGTGGATCTTCTAAGCAAGAAAGGAATATCTCAATACACAGTTGACTTAAATCGAAACCAAACGACTCAGCTCAAGCTGTATGGCTATATATCGAAGTCCGATAATTCCATAGAAGCTAGTTTTGTTTAATGATTACAAATTCCAGTACACGAAAGAACAAAGGGTTTCTATCAAGTTTGGAGCGCAAATAGATCCAGGAAAAATATGGGCATCTTTGTAGGGTTCTGCAACCTTAACTCAACTGCTTATCCTAATATGAATGTTGCTGCGAATTCTACATTCCAGGTGAGTAAATCAAATTTGAAAATAATGAGCGTATTCATTTAACGTAAGCGGTCCACCCACAAAACATATACACTAAGAAGGTCGAAATTCTGGGAGAGAAAAAAAGGTATAGTTCTACGATACTCAAGGGCAACACTTGACTATGTCACTGTCAAAGCGTTATTTTTTGAGGATGCGCACTTGTTTGATTAGAATTATTGTCATGCAACGTTGCCAGCTCTTCATATAAATAGGTTTAATACTTTTATACATAGAAATTTGGTAAATATGGGTGATCTATGTGTAATCTCATTTTGTAAAATATACAGTTTCTTTATTTTTTTTTATTTAAGATCCACATATGCGCATCATAAAGCACTGTTGGCCTAATCAAAGTCGTATATATCCGGATCTGCAATGCTCCTGTTATGTCCTTGGATTTAACTATATTCTTCAGTGCTTCTACCTTTCTACCACCTTTTGTGACCTAGCTTCTATTTCTTCTCTCTAATGTACAGTATTTGTGAGTAAAACACTGTTATATTCGAATGTTTAAAGTTTTTGTTTTGAACTGTTTCTCAGTGCACACAGATTTTTGTAGATCTCCGTAAATTTAGTTTTTCTTTCATTATGTGTAATCCAAAATGTTCCAAATTCATGTCAGTTCTTGTTTTGTTCTCCATATCAAGACAAGATCGTCAGCATAGGCCGGTGGTCGCTAACCCTCGATCGCGAGCTACCGGTAGCTCGCAAAGTCAATTCTGGTGGCTCACAACATACTTTAAAAAAGTGTAAACAATCGTCGTAGAAGCTTCTGCAAATTTGCAAATTCTATAATAAACACAAGCAGTGGCCCACTGCAGTGAGCGATCTGTTCGAGAACGATCGCGATTATTTGAACGCAATAAATACGAAAGGCGCGGCGACAGTGCGCTCAGTTTAAAACTGAACGCTTTCAGTCCAGCGGTTGGGTTAGAGTTGGCCTGCAATTAAAAACATTAAGAGCAGTAGTAAGAAGATGAAGACATATTATTTCCATGCAGAATGGGAAGAACAATATTCTCTACAAAAGTTAAAGGTAAACATGTATGTTTGTTATGTAATACATGTGTTTCCGTTGCTCTAAAAAAGGGAATATTGAGAGGGCACTATAAGACTGTACATTCGAATTTCGAAAAATCATTCCCATTGCGTTCAGCAACCAGAACGGAAAAACTAGAACAATTAAGAAATAGTTAATTGGACAACAGACAATGTCTTTTGAAGTTTATTCCACTAAAGGACTACTGGACAGGATTGTTTTGTTCTTTTAAAAACATTATTTCTTCTGAGAAAATTCTAATATCGAAAATGGTAGCTTGACAACCGATGGCGCTCCAGCTATGGTGGGTTGTGATAAGGGTCTCGTGGGGTTATGTCGTAAAGATGAATTTTTCTGCAATTTTGACTGTCAGAATTTGAGCGAATACATTGCCGCGACAAAAATGATTTAGCTTTAAAATCATTAGTCTCAAATACAAAATGTATATGACCTCCAGTAAGTAAAGACAAATATTCAGTTTTATATCGTGTTGCTTTGAAAGTGAAAACGTTATTTAGTTCAACCTATTTGTGTGAATCTTCTTTTTCAAGAATGAAGTTTATTAAAAAAATACCGTAGTCGACTTACAGATGAACATTTGGATAATTGTATTCGAATGGCGGTATCAAATTATATTCCAAACAGTAAAAAATTGTCAGTGAGTCTGAGTGTCAGTGTTATCTGGACATGTTTTTGTTTAAAATAGGTGTGCTTTTTTTATTTTAGTAACCTTATTTAATCGTATGTGACATGCCATTGCAGCTGACGAAAATTTTGTTTATTTTTCAAACACTTAGGTAGGAATGGATGTAGTTATGTATGTATTAATTATTAGTTTATTTAAGTTTAGTCGTATGTATTAGTATTAGTAAAATAAACACATGTATGTTGCATACAACTATGTATAATTTCATATAAGTTGGCTTAAATTGCTTACGACTAGGTAGCTCAGTGTTATTCCAAAATGATCAACAGTAGCTCAACACACTGAAAAGGTTGGCGACCACTGGCATAGGCAATGACCTGGTGTTGGGCGAAATATTATTCTCCTGTTTGTAAGTACGTTTTCTAAGTATTTTTTCTGGTAGGAGATTAAAGAGGACAGTTGATCGAGGGTCCCATTGCCTCCTCGAGATACGCCAAAGCTATCCGAAATTCTTCCCTCAACTTGGACTTTGCAATTTGTTTCACTCAGTGTGACTTGTTCAGACTAGCCAATTTTGATGGTTTCCCTTAGACAAAAAAAATACGTCAGCAAGTAGCGTTAATTCTTTCTAAATTCGCAGATTCTCCGCGTTGAGGTTTTTAGTTGATTTAAGAAGCTACAGCTTCTTGCAGACTCCAGGCGCTCTGACTCCATCGAAACATGATAACTGCTTTTCATCGAGAAACCGAATGTAGGAAATATCTGATGTGTTAATCTAACGTCAGTTCATGCTCAAGTTAAGCTTTCAGCAACACGATACAAGATGCCGCATACGAAAAATCCTTTGTAGCGTTTACACTATTAGCAGATCTCTCATTGAAGCAAAGTTGAGGTTGGGTGTAGAGATGGAGAGTTTCTGAACGTCAGCTTCCTGTAGCATCTGAAAACCTATCCTGTGGTTTCAATGTCGAGAATAATCTAATAATAATTAATAATAAATAATAATAATAAATCGAAACCGCTTCATGGACAGTTCTTCAAACCTACACAAAACCAATGTAGATAAACACATGTCCCTGGATTGGATGAACAGTAAGGATTGAAGGCGGGCGGACTGAAAAGTCTACTGATAGCTGCACAGGACCACGCACTTAACACGCGCTACCACGAAGAATGTCGTGAAACAGAACGTCGACAGCAAATGCAGAATATGCCATCAATGTGAGGAACATATGAGCCACATTATTTCAGGCTGCTCAACACTGGCACCAACAGAATACACCGAAAGGCACAACAACGTCGCTAATACATACACTGGGCTATCCTCAAGCAGCACCAAGTACCAGTTAGCAACAACTGGTATGATCATTCTCCTGAAGCAGCAGAGAGACACGAGCATCAATTATGTATTAAGAAGGAGTCATTACCGACCGTACGATATCCGCCAACGGACCTGATATTATTTACCATAATAAAACACAGAACACATGCCTGCTAATTGAGGTATCTGTAGCAGACGACAACAACGTCAACACCAAAGAAGCGGAAAAGGCCAGAACATACAAAGACCTCGAAATCGAAATATCGCCTATGTGGAAGACAAAGACAAGAACGGTGCCCGTGGTCATCGGAGCTCTGCGGACTGTCACTATGTCATTCAAGAACAACATAAAAGAACTCCCCGGAGATGTTTTTGCAACACAAATTCAAAAGATAACTGCTAGGAACAGCCCACATCTTGCGGAAAACCCTTTCCGACTAAATACCTTAGAACTCAGGCAGAGTTCCGGTCAAGCTCATCCCTTCCTCTTGGAAGTGCAATGCAGTATAATAATAATCATTATAATAATAATAATAAATTGCCTTTCTTTTACCTATATACTATACTAAGTGACAATAAATCCGAACACCCAGTTTAAATGGTTTTATTTTAATAAAATTTTGTATAAGTACTTAATGAAGCATAATAAGTAAATGATAAAAATTTCAAAATGATTGCACTGCTTTAAAGCCCTTTGACCTTCAATAATGTGTGGATGCACCCTGATGTGCTACGCATTCTCCAACGCGCCTAGGCATGCTTCTGATCAGGTGGTCAATGTCCTCCTGTGGTATCTCATTCCAGGCAACTACCAACTCCTCTCGAAGTGCTTCTAGAGTCTGAGGAGGACGTTGCAAATTGAGCAATCTCCTACCCATCATCCCACACGTGCTCAATTGGGGATAAGTCGGGAGATCTTGGTGGCCATGGTAACAATGTGACATCATTATGTTGAAGAAGTCTATTGTGACTCTTGCAACATGTGGCCGGGCATTATCTTGTTGGAAAGTTGGATCTGCCAGGGTGTCAAGATAGGGTAAAAGATTGGGTTCTAGAACTTCGTGGATATAACGCTGCGCGTTTCATGTTACCTCTGATAAAGATTAAAGGTGACCTGGAACCATAGCTATAGCACCCAAACCATAACTCCAACAGTGTGATGAACATGTCTTTAAAAAAAAAACTGTGGATTCCTCCTTTCACCACGTCGCCTTCTAACCCTGGCACGACCATCGTGCATGCCTAAACAAATCGAGACTCGTCACTAAAGACAATACTGTTCCATTCCTGATCCAGAGTGACTGTTGTCTGCACCACTCAAGGCGATTACGTCGGTGTTCTCGAGTTAAAGGAGGACCCAGTGTGGCCGGTATGAAAAACAAGCCAAAACTTCTCATTCGTCGGTAAACACTTCGCATTCCAATAGGTCTTCCGTGTTCTGCAAACCATTCATTTGCAATGGACCTGGTAGTGGAGAAACGGTCCCTTAAGGCCAATAATCTTAGGCGGCGATCTTCACGGTCTGTTGTTCTACGGCGGCGTCCAGTGCCCCTTGCTCTTTTGCGTACGGCCTTCTCGAAGCCATGCCTGACAACACCTAACCACAGTGTCTACACTTCTTTGCACTCTAACTGCAATTGCAGAAAGAAATTCCAGCTTCCCGAAGTCCCACTATACGTCCCCTATCAACTCACTAAGTTGACGAAATCGTACAGGTCTCCGTACTCTAGGCATCGTAACCGATCGTAAAGGATGTCAAGAACCAAAATCCGCCAACGTTGATTCTTACTGCGGCTGAAGTATTCATTTTTAGAGCGTTAGTGAATTAAAAAAAAAGCAGTATAAAAACTGGAATGTCCAACTGATAAGCTGAAAATTTTTTCACTTGTTATTTACAGTAAGATAAATACATTCACCAACTTTTATTAAAATAAACCATTTAAACTGGGTGTTCGGATTTATATGTCACTTAGTATATATTACAGTAATTTAGAACAGATAAGAAACTAGGAGTGTCAATCCCGGGGTCCCGGATCTCGGTAGAAAACCTGTCTCGAAAATCCCGGGATAGGCTAATAATTTCGGTAGTAGTCCTGAAATTTTTTATTAAGTGATATTTAGTATATAATTTTATAAATGTTTTATTCGAGTTGCAAAGTCGAAATACCTATTGCGAAATCGAAAGAGCCGACAACCTTGTATTGCGGTACGCATCATTGTGAATATCTAAACAGAGAGGTTTATTATTTATTAATCAATAAATGATTGTCAAATTGTCAGTGACGAAGACGATGTTCCAATTTCGGAAATTATCAAAGCACATGAAAATGAACAAAAAGCAATAGTTACACATTCGGAATCAAAGTAGAAGAAGACCAAAGGATTATCTGGCATACTTGGCCAAGAAATTGATCTTTTTTTAAATGGCGGAAATCGTGTGGCAGCTTGCTCCAAAAAGCATACGATTATCTGTCAACAATTCAGCCTACTAGTGCAGAGTCCAAGAGATGTTTTTCTTCTGCGGGGGTATTTATGTAATAAGATCGTTAAAGTCTAAAGGATGAAACTGTAAACGCAACTCATATTTTTGCGATCGTATTTTAACGACTTTAATGAATTTTCATTCCCAGTTCTTATGAATGTTTTTTAGTTCATGTTTATTACTAATGTTTATTTTATATACTATATTTATTTAACAAAAGTGTCACTCACTTAACTCTATTATGACACTTGTATCTATAGTTATCGTTTGCATTATTTAATTTATGGTTCGTTTAGTTCTTTGATTGTTTTAGATAATTTCTGTTACTTTAATTTTTAAATTATTTTTTTTTTCGGGATTGGTTCCGGATCCCGGGTTAGGCATATCGAGCCTCAACAATCCCGGGGTTACGAAAAACATTCGGGATTGACACCTCTAATAAGACAGAAATATGTTTGACACTAAATAATAATATTTTGGAATTTTGAGGGTTGACAGCGAGATTATGTTCAGACGAATATTGGATTAAATTAACATTATCTTGTAAAACTTCCTACAGTATTTTTAGAATGAAGGACGACCGTATTTCGCTGTGCCCTCTCTACAAAGATGCTTGTTTGCTTGTTTCACGTGTTCTGGCACGAATTTATGCTCGGAGGCGCTGGAAACGCATCGCCTACTTATGTTTCCAGTTTAAATATATGTTTTGTTTCCCGAGAACAATACGCTTGCAGATTCCATCTGAACGTGACACCGTATATACGGAATTAATAACAACGGGCTACCGAGTACAATTTGTTCAGATCTGGCAGGATTCAACCAGAATTCTTTTAACGGGAAGTAGATAAGATTTATAGAAAAACTCTGCTACGGAAAATACTAGTATTCTGTCAGTCGGCTGTACTTGAACGAATAAACCCTCTTAGAAAAAATGTATAACAAAGGATTAAAAATGATCAGGTGCAAACACCAACGTTTATGCAACAGTTCAAAATTCGTCCCATAAGTAGTCGTATAACTATGCTACAAGAATGTTCTGGCCACCACATTTTAGAGCAAATATGCTGCAGAGAGCAAATTTGCATCTGACACACCATTAAGCCAGCATTTCGGTGTTCAGGCAAAAAACTAAAGAAAGCTTTTACTTATAAAACTTATAGCAGCTCTTTGCTAGTTGGGTCACGGATAACAATACTTCCCCGCCAGTAAGCGTGATAACGAAGCCTAAAACTTTTTTTTTGATACCGAAGCAGCCGCACAGGCAGAAGCCTAACTGCCGGGACACCGCGGCTGCTATGATGATCCCAAAGAAATTTTGATAATACGATTTTTGAACTGCCTAAGGTTAGTAGAACCGGGAAAAGCTTCCTCTTGTAGATTGTTCCACAATCTCGACACCCTCGGGACAAAGGAGCGGTCGTATGGGCCAGTTCTGGACGTACGAAGTTCGACATGGTTAGGATGGGACGCCAAAGTCAGGCCGGTCTGTCCGGCAGGCACATCGCGCGACGGCATCATGAAAGAGAGCTCTAAGGAGCAAAGCCCTTTGGTGTAGCGGTAGAAAAGAGATACATCGCCGACGGCGCGCCGGTGGGAAAAGGTCCCGAGACTGTCTGTTAGAGAAGAGTAATCTAGCATAAATAATGTAGTCGGGGGCATATTATGTAATCAGAAAATTTATACCAATAAACAATACTGCAACAATCGTCGAAACTCGTTATTCAAGATTTACCCCCACAGCAGCTTCAATGTTGAAAAAGCTTTGTGTGCTTTTTGTGAACTAGTATACAAACCTCGTAAAGCTCAAAGGCTATTAACAATAACACTTTTTCAGAAAAGCGGCGGGCATATGGACCTCTCTTTGAAGCTTAAACAGAATCCTTTGACAGAAGACCACCCTGATGCGGATCACCACACTTTGAACTTTGACGTATTGCTGTCGTATAAATCATTCACGGACAACAAGCGAGTGTTCAAGGCCGTTTCGTCATTGAGCAGGAAATCGACCAGCCTTGCCTAAAGGGCGAGTTAGTGTACGAAGCTTTCAGGCATGATATCAACGTTGTAGGGGTAGTGAACTATGGCGGGAACAAACAAGTTTCGATCACGGTCTTCTGGTCGCACCCACGGTCAGCTTTGGAGCAGATCAAGACTCACGTTAACATCACTATACCGTCATTTACACCTATGATATTGAAGCTGAACATCAACGAGAAACAGCTCTAACGATTATATGGTAGGTACACTGAGAAAACATGTTCCATTAAACAGTTGTTCTGGAACATTTTCATTACGTAATGTATTTTTTAATCACACAGTAGCTAAGGCTGAAAACATAGTGGGCGGCATCGCGCCGCTTTAGCTTCGCGTTGCGAATGTATACTAGCGACATAGTAAAACATGACTAGACGGTCTTAATGCGAGTATAATCAAATTATTTTTTAATTATGTTAAGGGCATCTCAAGTTTTGGATAATCTAACTTATGGTATTGGCATTTGTTACAAAAACCCAGTTCCAGTAGTATCCACGAAATATTCAAATAACGGCGAGAATATGGTTGAATTCCATACTCTATATGAAAAATGCGACAACATCCTGAAAATTTTACCAGTATACAAGAATGAAAATTGGAACATTCGATTATATATATTAAGTTTATTCAGGTGTAAATTAACAGAAAATTGGACCAATTTTAATCCAATAAGGCTAGGAGAACGTTGTTTAAAATAAAAACAAAAGCACTCATAGGACTATTTTTGTCACGTAGTAGTTATAAACAAAATATTACTTAACTGAGACTTTCGAATTTATTTTTTAAATCTAGTTACGTATACAGTTATTTGTTTTGTCATCTCATTCCACAATTTATCCAAACTATACCGATTATGGTGATTTTGGCCGTTTTGATTCCATGAACTGGGTTTCTCAAACACAAAATCGATCAATTTTTGACAATCCATCTTTTAAATTGCAGATCCACAAAGCGGCGAAACAAAATATTCTCAGTCGATCTCGCCGCTTGATAACTCGCTCGTACTCACTCGTGACTATGTACGCTTGATTTGATTTTACGCGTCTGATTTCGGTGCGATGCCGCGCTGTTTGCTCGCCGCTATCCTCATCGCTCCACTGTTTCAGCCTTAGTTATTCGGTTTAAGCAAACTGAATTTTCTGGAACCAGTATAATTGAAAGTAATATACTATCAATCTAATTTGTTGGAAAATAGCAAACAATGTACCTGTTCCATCAAACTGTTTAATTAGTTATCAATCTAAGTAAAATGTTTAATAAATTTAGTTAAACGATTGCGTTTTGGTTTAATTAATAGAAAATTCAAGTAAGCTCTTTCAGAAGTCATAGTTTGATGAAAACTAATTAAACTTGTTAACTGTCACATAGTTAAGTTTTAAATTGTCCTAATTAAAATTTCAATTATTTTAGCGATTTTTTTTTCTCAGTGTAGATTTTGTCCAGAGATTCAGTACAAGTCACAGTAACGTTTGGGATCGCATGCGAACCCTTCACTGCAAGGGCGTACCTAGCTCGAAACGGAAGGGAGGGAGGAAGGAAAACTTGAAAAGACATTTTTGTTGTACAAATCATATCTACACCTTAGGAAAAACCATTGTTATACATGGGAAATCATTTCTTGGCAACAGCGCATCCGCTCGTCTACTTTCATCGCTATTCGTACATATTTCCTACGTTAACCGCAGACCTGTATCACGAATGAGAATAATAGGCAGATACGCTGTGTTGCCACTTTGAGTAGAGCTTCCGAATTGTGGGGAATTTAGAGTTAAGTGTTGATTCATTCAAGCTTTTAATCAGCATAACCTAGACGTTGGAACTTCATAAAGATAACATTGAAGCTGAATGCTGCTGGAGTATAGTGTTTCGAATATTCAAAGCGGAGCGGGACACTATACTCGTTCAATGGGTCATCAAGCCACAGTCTTTTCAACAAAGAAATTATTTTACGAAAATGCGTTATATTTTTACGATTTTGTCGTCACAAAATCTCTGTTTCCCAAAATGTACGTCTATTGTAGAATTTTCAGCAAACTAAGCAAGAAACGTGATCTAGTATTTACTCAACATTACAGATTTCTCGAAATACATTAAAAAATGTGACCTAGATACCTAACTGCCCCAAGCTCTTTAAATATAACACCTTAACCAGGGTTACCAGGTGCTCAGTCAGGTTGATTGTCATGTTGTACTGCGCAAGTCAGCAAACAATCTGGCGTAATAAACGTTAGAATCATCAGGTATTGCCAGATCCCGAATACCGGGCACCATAGTACCAGTTATAGTTGTCCTTCAAAGTTGTCAAATCGCCCCTATGGCGCAAATTCGCCACACCAGGCAAACTGTGCTATAAACAAACCCTGTTTATCACTACTATTGATAGTCATATGGTAGTTGTAGCCCTATCTAGCGGTTCATGATTTCTCTCAATACTGTTGTATCTCTACTGGCAACAAGAATAGGGATTAAAAATCATTTATACAACAATATACAAACATGAAAAATATGATTTGAACCATGAAACATTAATACAATTTTAATAGTTTGAACTTTTTTCATTTTTGGAATACTCTTATGTGGAATCCGCAGCTATTTTTCCCGAAATTGGGTAGACTTAGATTTCTTAGAAATATGACATATTGGTATCGGCAACTCTGCGAATGGGAGAAACAAATCGCATTTGTTGAGCGCATCCGTCTAAGCGGTAGGCGCCAGCGCCCGTTCTGCCATCTCTCTCTTTTATCACTCTTCTACTTTACCCCGTTGTCCGTCACACTCCGACGCTGCCACATAGGATCCTACAATCGAGTGTCTTTCACGCACCTACATACTTTTGTATGTATATTTCCATCTCTCTTTCTCATCATAATGTATAATAATGTTTTTTCCCAAGGTGTATATGGTTGGAATCTTTCTTTCTATTTGTATTTCATTTATACAGAGTCTTCTACGACAATTTGTCCATTTATATGAATACAGAAAACTAATAGGATTGCTTTTGAAACATTCAAGCAAACATCGTGCGAGATGCTTTGTTAAGTAATACATGAAAGCAAAACTTATAGATAGTATATGATGTATAACCGAAAACAGATTTATAGAATATGTTCATAGTTTATGATAGGATTATTTGAAACACAGTACTGTACCTTGACGAACAAAAAGCGTCCTAGCGGTCATCCGGTTTCGATGGATGACCGAGTTCTGCCAAAGAGTCATTAATTTCGGCTGGTCGGAGTCCAGATCACCGAGGACCTGATCTGCCACGAACACATTTCGTCAATAGCGGCAGCTGCTGGGAAAAAGTTAGGCTATTTGCTGAGTGCCTCAGGCAGCAGCGGTGGTCGCAGTAGTAGACTCTTCGGTCTCCTGATCAGTCGCCGTGCGCTGTGCGGGTTCGAGTCCCGTCCTAGGAGAAATTTTTCTCTTGGCTATGGATGTTGTGATTGTCCGTAGGTGGTAGATGGTCTCTGACTATCGAACGCGGCGGTACCACCGGCGGTTCTCGTAGGCGGAGCCAGAATGTGTGCATGTCGCATGCACACGTGTTCCTTTGTTCCCTCGCCAGAGTCCGTGTGGCGTCCCCCCTTTCCTATGCATGCCCCTATAGCCCCACGGTACCCAATGGGTGCTTAGGCCTTAGGCCTTCGTGGTAGTTGGAGTATAAAAAAAAGTACTTTTCTCCACATGCCCTTCTCACTCTATACAATGCCCAGATAAGGCCTAGCCTCGAGTATTGTTACACGTTTGGGGTGCTGCCGCCCGACTACATTATTTATGCTCGATGCTGTCCGAATGATCGATGACTGTGCTCTAACAGACAGTCTCGGGACCCTTTCGCTCTGGCGGGCCGGCGGCGATCTAGCTCTCTTCTATCGCTACACCAACAGGCTTTGCTCCTCAGAGCTCTCTTTCATGATGCCGCCTCGCGATGTGCCTGCCAGACAGACCCGCCTGACTTTGGCGTCCCATCCTAACCGTGTCGACCTTCATACATCCAGAACTGGCCGATACGACCGCTCCTTTGTCCCGAGGATGTCGAGATTGTGGAAAAATCTACAAGAGGAAGCTGTTCCCAGTTCTAGTGGCCTTAGGCAGTTCAAAAATCGGATTAACAAAATTTCTTTGGCACCATCATAGCAGCCGCGGTGTTCTGACATTTAGGCTTCTGCCTACGCGGCTGCTTCGGTATATAAGAAATTGTCATGCTTTCACCAGTGCGATCGTCGAACGATGGGAGATACGGGTCGGTTGAATGGTGGCAAATATGCGCATTTATATATTTTAGAAGGTGCATTTGTAAACTTTTGACGCCTCCGGTATCCTCAGTGATACACGGAAAAGGGAACTAATTTTCCCAAAATCGTTTCTAATTTTTTTCTGATAGGATTTCAAAATTGACATTAATATGATATTTCTTCTCTCAACTTCGATTTTTCTTATGTATACCATTTTTGCATAAGGTAATAACTTTTAATTCTAATTTCAAATATTATTGTATGACTTACATAAGAGAAATGTTTTCTGAGTAAGCCTTGAAATTATCATATAGTCATTTATTTCATACAATATGAAAGATCATAACATGTTACGCATTGATATAAAACTTCAAGTGGCTAACTTCATATACAGTATTTCACAGGACTCGTGTTGGTGAGACGTCAAATAAAAATATTTTACGACGGCCCAACTACCCAAAAACCGACCAAATAACATTGGATGATGGCCGCGAAAGCCTTTTGCATTCATTTTTGAATACTGTTCCATTTGTGACCAGATATTCCCTATTTACTTATTGTTAATATACTAAATGACATATAAATCCGAACACCCAGTTTAAATGGTTTTATTTTAATAAAATTCTGTATAAGTACTTAATGAAGCATAATAAGTAAATGATGAAAATTTCAAAATGATTGCACTGCTTTAAAACCCTTTGACCTTTAATAATGTGTGGATGCACCCTGATGTGCTACGCATTCTCCAACGCGCCTAGGCATGCTTCTGATCAGGTGGTCAATGTCCTCCTGTGGTATCTCATTCCAGGCAACCACCAACTCCTCTCGACGTGCTTCTAGAGTCTGAAGAGGACGTTGGAAATTGAGCAATATCCTACCCATCATATCCCACACGTGCTCAATTGGGGATAAGTCGGGAGATCTTGGTGGCCATGGTAACAATGTGACA